CTGTTTCCCACTGACTTTAAGAGTTTTGCTTGTCCCTTCTAGAACTGGCCATGGTCTTAGATAGCCCCACCATCTGGGACCTCTTGAAGCTGGGGCCTGTCAGTTGCCTTTTTCCTTGAGGACTGGTCATGTTTTCTCAGTTCTTTGTATGCTGGGTGTTTATGGGCTGTGGCATGGGGTGAGGTTCTTTGCTGGGTACTGTTCATCTCCTGTGGTGAATGTGGATCTTCTTTCTTTGCAGCTGGGTAGCAGTAACCTACTAGGGTCAGACTCCGAATCTGCCTGGCCACATGGGCAGACATTCAAGGATCATTCCCCCTCAAGGCCTTTGTGGTGCCTTTGGGTCCATCCTAGGCATACAGCTCAGGAGCCGGCCCATAATGGCCCAGCTCCTATACGTGGTTGGGACCCACCACACTCTGTGGCTCCCGGTAACCCCTGCACCTTACCCTCTGGCTAGAAAGGCAGTTTTGGCTGCTGTGAGTAGGGTGACAGACACAGGGTGGGAGAGAAAAGGGAAACACCCCACTCTCCAGCTTTAGGGGTTCCTCTCCTGGGGAGGCCCAGAGGGCAGGTTTCTCTTGGGATTCACTGGTCCCATCGCAGTCCTGTGGCTGGGCACCCTCAGGTCCACAGTGGCTGCCCTCCCCACTGTGCCTGCTGTTGCCCACTTTGCAGAGCCCTCAGAGGCTTTGGTTGTAGGCCATGGGGAGAGGCTGCACTACTCAAGTCTGTCCACTGTGGGGCACCGCCTCTGTTGCCCCTTGTTGCTGCTGCCTTTGCTCACCCTGTCTTGTCATTTTGCCCATCTGCTTATTTTTCTTTGGGCACCAAACATTGTATTTGGAAGTGTGGGAATAATCTGAGGCCCAAGGTGGCATTCTCCTGCAGGGGGCATTGAGACCTGCTTGCAGCTGTCGCGCCCTCCCACCTCAGGAGGCTCCAGAGCTGGCCCGGGTCCTTGGCTCCGTTCCCAGGCCAAAGTGTGTGGGTGGTTCCACCAGGCAGGCCCATGGGTCCCAACTTTGTCCCTAGAAGCGAGCTAGGTGCTGGAAGTATGGCTGCACTTTCCTGCCACCTCTTCTAGGAAAGAAGAGGGAAACCAGGAGAGAGCGCGAGTGTCTCAGGTGAAATGGCCTCCGCCTTGGCTCTCAGGACTCTGGTTCCCCTGGATGTGGCTGGGCTGACACAGCCTTGAGCAGGGGTTATGGTCACGCTGCTCTCTGCTTGCTGGCCAGAATCCTGGAAGTGGACCTCCCACGTGGTCTAAGGGACTCCTGTGCTCGGGTGCCACGGCTAGCTCTTACTTCCCTGTGTTCCGACGGGTTACTTGGCTGTGTCTCCGTCTCAGGGGTGACTGTGATACATGTAGGATGGCCCTGTCCTCCTGGAGGAGCTGTCCCTGCACTGTGGCCATGAAGCCTGATGAGGGTGGCAGGTGGTTGTGCATGGTGAGCCCTCTGCTCAGGTTGGTCCCCTGTGTCGGGAGGATCTGGTGTCTGGGGATGCTGAGCTGGCCCCAAGGGGAAGCCAGGCCTTGCTCGGGAAGGTGGAAGGCTGTGCGAGTTCCTGCCCATCTTTCTGTTCCCCGGCACCTGGCTTTTGGTGTCCCTCACAGGCTTCTCTGTCCCCCGAGTTTTGTGTTTTGTGTTCGTGTTGTTTATCCCAGGGCTTGCCCTTACTGTGGGAAGCACGTTCAGATGCTTTCTCTAAAGCCTTTGGAGGGCAGCTCCGCCGCCCGGCTTCTACTGATAGTGTTTCTTTTGGGGGCTTTGGGTTTCCCTGCTTGTTCTTTCTTCCTTGCGTTACTGTGGGTGGCGTGTGGATATCTGAGAGACTCTGCTTTGCAGTTGTGGGCTTATTGGAAAGCTGGCATAGACTGGTCTTGCTGGCTTTAGCAGCTGGCCCACCAGGTTGTTGGCTGCAGCTCACCGTCTACCCTGTGGCCCTGCTGGGTGGTCGTGGAGTGCCAGCGTGAAACCCAGACTGTTGGTGTAGCTCTTGGAGTCGCTGTATGGCTGCATTGGATTTCACATGCGGCCACTTGGGGTGTCCAGGACCTCATATACAGATCCAAATGCCCACTCTCTGAATGTGAAGAGTCCCCCAGGGCTCATGTGAGAGACAACGTAAGAACATTATGAGGTGAGATGATTGGGTTATGAGAGCCCTAACCCTGTCAGTGCATTAATACCCTGGCAGGGAATAGCTAGGTGGAAACTGTGGGCAGGCGGGGGGTGTTGCTGGAGAAGGCGGGACCACAGCTGCCTCCTGGTGTCCAGCCCATCCTTCACTTTGCACGGGGAAGACAAGCAGGTGTTAAGTAACTCTTTTTCCTCCAGCTTCCCCAGCCCCTGACCCAACCTGACCTAGTCCATTCCCTTGCTGTGTGCCTTAAGTTCCTCAGCCTGCCTGTTCCCTGACAGCCCACAGAGAAGGCAGGCGTGTAGCAGGTGCTTAGTTAAGAGTCTGTGAACAGGGCTGGGGCTTGGCTCGGTGGGACAGCGCTTGCCTAGCACTTGTGAGGTCCTGGGCTTGATTCTCAGCACCACATAGAAATAAACATAATAAAAGCATTCTATCCACGTACAACTAAAAAAAAAAAAAAAAGTCTATGAACAAGTTACTGAAGCACTGAGTTTGAGTTCCCTAAACTTGCCAGGCAAGGGTCATTGGAACATTTTTCCTTTCGCCTGGAAGTTTGGCCACCTGCACAGCTCATCCCCGCCCCCTCAGTGCTGGGCTGTCTGCTGACCCCTCCCTGTGTGCTCCCTCTGCACCTGGGAAGTTGCCTGCTGACTTTGGCATCTTCTTCAGCATCAGCCCACTGCAGTGTCTCTTGCCCCCTCCTGGCTTCCCAGCATTTTTGTACCTTCCTGGCTCACAGAGGTGCTTGCTAATTGTTGAGTGAATAAATAGTTCTGACAATCTGCATTACTGGATTGCAGAAGAAATGAAAAACAAATGAAAAATAGAAAGAGATTGAAGGCATCTATGAAGCTGTTTGAAATAGCTGCTTCCTAGTAAACATCAAGGACATCAGGTCTGTGCACATCAGTTCTTGAGGGACCAACAGCTCAGCATGAGGGCAGTCACTGCCCCACTGGACCAGGGAGTGTGGCTCCTTACTGAGTGGGGCTGTAGTGGCCCTGTGGCACACACTGAGGAGTCCATGGGTCTGGAGCCATTATTCCAGCGTGAGCACCACTGTCCCCTGGCTCTCCCCTTGTGATCCTGAAGCATCCGGGGGTGTCTTACAGTATTCACATACATACGGGATTCGAAGAGCCGCTGGTGTGAACCCCTCCTTGCTGACTGTGGCCCAGCGAAGCATCGCTGTGGGGCCGATGGTCCAGGAGAGCCGCTGCTCAGACCTGCCTTGCCAGCCCCTGCCTTTCCGGTGGGCATCTTCACCAGGTTGGGGCTTTAGTTCAGTCCTTGCTTGCCCACCCATGCTTGCACAGGATCAGGACCCTGTAGGGTCCCCATGAGTTGTGGCGGCTCCTGCCCTTCTAGAGAGAAGCCCGTAGTTCAGGTCAGAGGGAGGATGGTGTTGTTCAGCTGATGGGGCTCAAGGGGCCCTAGGCCCCATGTGGAAACATCACATAGGCACTCAAGGTGGTGGCCACAGCCAGAAGGTACATCTGAGGTCACCCCACAGCTGTGGTCTTTGAAGCTTTGAGGCTAAATGCGCTCTTCTCGGACATGAGGTAGGACATAGCCTTGCAGTCTTGGGCGACTGAGGCAGCAGTGAGGTAGAAGGAGAGCAGAGGGCAGGTGAGGTGACCTGTAGCCTTCCCTGGCAGCATAAACTTCTGAAACTGTCGTCGAACCTGGGGCTCCTGCCTGGTGCCCTTCCCAGTTTCTGCTCTGCAGGCTGCCTGTCCCTGGGCACCACACTTTCCTCCCAGGACATATTGCTCCCATGTGTGGGTGCCCCTTGCCTTCTTTTGTCCCTGCTCCCATCTCTGGGGCAGGGCTTTCCTGGACTGCTTAGTGAAGCACAGCAAGCCAAAGGCCCTCCTATGGTGCTGCATGCTGGAGCCTGGTCCTTCTATCATTGATGTGGTCTGTTTTGTTCAGAGCTACAGGTGACTTCAAACTAGGTGGCTTTCCAGGGTAGTCGGCGAGTGTGAGGTTGGCCCTGGTGACACTCTCTGAGCTTAGCAGAACCACTGTAGCCTTCCAGAGTTGGAGCTGACTTGCCCTGTCCACCCTCAGAGCTGCTGTGGTCACTAAGCATCTCAGTGCTTTAAAAGTAGAGTGCCATGTGAATGCTGGCTGGCCACACTCAGAAAGAAGAAACTGAGAGCCAGGAGTTGAGACTGGGGCTGCGATGAGGATCCACAGACCCATGTTAAGTGGCCTGGGTCTCAGAAAACAGCACCCATGAGAAACAAAAGGAGACAGGAACAGAGGGAGAGAGGGGCCTTTGAAAAAGGATCTGCTCTGCTCTGCTCAGGCAGGGCCTGACTCAGGAAGCATGAGCCTCCCTGGTACGTTCGTGATTTCAACACTGGCCTTCCTTGGGAATGGTGGCTCTTTCTAAACACTTGTGGAGGTGTGGACAATTCAGAAGTGCTGCAGCCTGCACTGTCTCAGACTGAGTGGGTTAGGTTTGTGGGACTCGGTGCTCTTAGATTGACTGTAGAGACCTCCCTCTGTGGGACAGCTGCTGACCTCTTGCAGATGAGTCTAGGAGCAAGCTGGGCGGTATATAGGGCAGAACTGTGGTGGCGGTGGTGTACTTACCTGGCACATGTGCGTTTGGCTCCCTGCTTCAGAGTTGGTTTTGGCTTCTGGTGACCTTGGGCATGTTGTTCCTCTCTGTGCCTGGGTTTTCTTAGCTGGATGCAGGGACAGGGCCATATTGGGTGGCGTCACAGTGGTGATTCTGTAGCGTGGTCTGCTAATCTACACAGCTGAGAAGAGCCTGGCTGCTGTTGCTGGCAGGCGTGCCCTGTGTGCACCTCACTCACGGTGCTCTTTCTTTGCTCTAGATAACATCCCCGAGGACCTCAGAGACCCCTTCTACATTGACCAGTATGAGCAGGAGCACATTAAGCCACCTGTTATCAAGCTGCTCCTGTCCAGTGAGCTGTACTGCCGTGTCTGCAGCCTCATCCTGAAGGGGGACCAGGCAGCCACCTTGCAAGGACACCAATCTGTCATCCAGGCTCTGTCCCGAAAGGGCATCTATGTGATGGAGAGTGACGACACCCCTGTGACAGACGCAGACCTGGGCCACGCGCCCATAAAGATGGTGAGTGTCTGTAGTGGGCACACCCTGTCCTCTGCAGTTGGCCGCATGGGCAAGGCATAGTGCCCTGCGAACAGGCATACAAGAGGCGAGGCTGGCACATGGGCAGTGGTGGCTCTTAGTGGCTCGTGTCTTTTCACATGTGTAGACCCTCTGGCAGCGGGAGGGAGCGGGCTTGTGAACAGAGGCACTGAGGCCACTGTAGTGGCCCACATGTCCTTGTGGAGGCCTTCCTATTAGGTGGCTATGTGTCTGTCCTGTGGGTCTTCTAGTGCCAGTGCCAGTGGGCATGCCCCTCTCCCCTGAGCAGGCCTTGTCCACGGCCCCCCTGCTGCCTGTCCTGTTCCAGCGCCTGTTGGTACCCTACATTTCTCCTTTCGGGCACGTCATGGCATTCTGTATTCTGTGGTCTTTCTCACTGGAAGGGTGCCTGTTGTAGGTGAAGAGAAGGTTCTTGGTGCCCCGTGAGAAGGCGTGCTGTGTGCATGGGCTTGGGGTGGCAGCTGGAGGCATGTGTTGGCATGGGCATGGGCAGCCTCTTCTCACAGCTTTCCCACATGGGGCTGCACTAGGCAGTACTCCACCTGCCAGGAAAACTCATGGGCTGCTGGGGCTAAGGAGATGAGGGGCTGGAACCCACCCAGCCCAGGTGCTGGCCTTGCTTGAGAAGGGATGCTGTGCTTCCTGACCACCCTGAGGCTGGTGGGCCAGAGCCCAGGTGTGATGCAGTGAGGGGCATGTGCACTGGAGTGAGTGTCTCTTCCCACGGGGAGGATGGAAAAGAGCTATCTGGGTGGGCTCCCATGTGGGACCTGCTGGGAGAGGAGTACTGACTGTGGCCTCTTCCCCAGAGCGCCCACATGGCCATGGTGGACGCCCTGATGATGGCCTACACCGTGGAGATGATCAGCATCGAGAAGGTGGTGGCCAGCGTCAAGCGCTTCTCTACATTCAGCGCCTCGAAAGAACTTCCCTACGACCTCGAGGATGCCATGGTGTTCTGGATCAACAAGGTGAGCGCCTGCTGAGCCCTCCTTCCCTGAGAGCACATACTGACTCTCAGACAGGGACCTGGCTGCTGGGTCTTATCATTTGGGACTACTGGATGCTGTGACCAGCAAGGTGTCTGCAATAGTTTAAAAACAGAACAGGCCTTTCTCCTGGGCATCCAGAGTGAGCAAGATGAGTGGTCTTTGAAAATGCAGTACATGGGTATGGTTGAAACAAATGAATGGATCCTCATTTTATCTTTGGCACCTGTGTGCAGGTCAGTTTTAGAAAACATTGATTCTTAGGAGGCACATGGTGTCTTCTTGTTAAATATTGTTTTTTCCTTTTACATTTAAACGCTTTTTATTTTTGGTACCAGGGATTGAACCCAGGGGCACTTAACCACTGAGCTACATCCTCAGCCCTTTTTTGTTTTTTATTTTGAGACAGGGTCTCCCTAAGTTGCTGAGGCTGGCTTTGAACTTGTGATCCTTCTGCCTTAGCCTCCCAGGCCACTGGGATTACAGATGTGTGCCACTGTGCCCAGCTTCCTCACATTTAGAAATTTACAGTGCAGTTTTTATACAATACACACGAAGAACTTTCATCTTTAGTATGTGTACTTATTCATGAGTTTACCTTCCCAAAGTCTGTGGTTTGTAAGCATCCTTATTTGTAAACGGTGTTTGAGTGGGCATCAGGAGCCAAAGGAGACAAGATTGTGCAGCCCCATGTGAAGTTACCTCAGCGTGCTTGAAGATGTGACCCTGTGAGACCTTTTAAATTCTTTGCTTATAAGTGTGTGCGTGTGCAAAAGCTGGACTAATGGCTCCCTTTGCTGGCTCCCCTTAAACTGCTATGACAAGTAGATTGGTGTCAGGAATTGGGAAAGGCTTGTGCTGGGACTTCTGCTCAGATAGTCACCTTGTTCTTGAATTGATTTGTGTTCCAGATGAGAGTTTGGGGGATCAGGTGGGTTGTCCGGCTCCCTTACACCTGTGATCTTGTGGCAGGGGAAGGTGAGTGCTGCTGTCTTTGCTGGGTCTCACTTTGGAGCCTCTGGGCCTAGTTTGGACCTGGATGCTGGTTAGCGCCATCTCTGCCTGTAAGGGCACCTCTGGAGGTGGGCACCATGTCTCATGTGAGGCCGGTGCCAGGGGGAGGTGCTGTAGGAACTTGGTTAAAAATGGGATTAGAAACTGAGCTTCAGGACATTTCTGAAACTCTAGTAGGATCTTCCTGTGGGCAAATATTCAGTTTTTGACTTATTATAAAACAAATGATATGGTTTTTACAGAAAATTCAGAAACTATGAATGGGTGAAAGGACAAACGTAACTGACCCATGATCTTACCATATGAAAATGGTTGACATTCTGATGGTCCTTACAGTTTTTGTTTATGTGGGTTACATGTAGATTTAGAGACACAGTTGGACCTTATCTAAGCACATCCCAGGTAAGTCAAGGTTGGGTCGGTGAGGGCAGCGGGCGTCTCCCTGCCACCCGGCTGACCCCTGCTGATGGAGGCTGTCTCTCTTCTCTGCACTGCCTCTTGGACAGTCTCCAGCATTTCCTCAGACCATGTTTCAGCAAGGGAATGGTTGTGGTGCAGGTGTTCATTTTTAATGACTTCTGCTTCTCTTGCCAGAACCGACCTTTGAAGGCTGTGTGTTTTTATCATGCCATTAGTCTTTCTGGGTGCCCTGTCTCCCAATTCTTCCATAAATTGGATGTCATTAATAAATACCTGCCCCTTTGAAAGGTGACTCTCCCCACAGGATAAAGCCTGTGTTCCTTTGGGGAGGAGCACATTTCTCCCTCCCTGTTTGATCAGGTTTCTCCAGTGTTTGCCATGTGTTTATACACGGTTTTCTGAGGTTCCTGCCCCTGTTGCCCGTGGACATGGCAGATGTTTACAAGTTCATATCCATGTGTTCTAGAGGCCACATGGTCCTTATGGATTTTTCTGGCTTCTATATCCCTTTTTTTTTTTTGTTTTTGTTTTTTTGGTTCTGTGGGTTGAACCAGGGGTGCTTAACTACTGAGCCACATCCCCAGCCCTTTTTATTTTTACTTTGCAAGGGTCTCACCAAGTTGCTGAGGCTGGTCTTGAACTTGCCATCCTCCTACCTCAGCCTCTTGAGTCACTGGGATTACAGGCATGTGCCACCACACCCAGCTTAGTTTTTTTGTTCTTAATACAGGATCTTGCCATATGGCTCAGGCTAGGTTTAGGCAGTCCTCCTGCCTCAGCTTCCTGAGTCACTGAGGCCACTGGTGTATGCCCCATGCCTGGCTATGATGATGTATTTTTTTTAAAAAATTTGCAGATGTCACACCATATGCATTTCTTATTTTCTTTGAGCTAGATCTTGGTATACTGCTCAGGCTGGCCTTGAACTCCTGGGTTCAAGCAATCCTTCTGCCTCAGCCTCCTGAGCAGCTGGGATCACAGGTACATACCATTGCATCTGACTTCCTCCTGGCTTGTCCCCAGTGGACACAGCTACTGACCTGGATTGTGCTACGATGCTTGCAGCTCCTGTGGCCTCTGTCCCCAGCCCCTTCTCCTGGATCAGACTTGAGGTTGAGTGGCGGGGTGTTCCCTTCTTACCCCGAGTGCTGTTTCTTGTCTGTTATCATGGCCTCTTTCCCAACCCGATATGACTGGCTGCTTCCTTGGCATATCCAGAGGAGCTCAGGCTCACCTTGCCAGGCTGTGCCTGGTGTGGCTGTGGTGCGCTGGGGGCCTTGTGTGCTCTCCCACTCTCGGTTCCTGGGCTTCCTCTCAACCGGGGTCCTCTGCTGCCACCAGTGTGCAGACTGCACACACCTCCCAGTGTTTTCAGGTGGGACTCCCTGGTCAGTAAGATGGAGCATCCTTCAGGCTTCCCCATGTGCACTGCCCTTCTGGGGTCCTCTCCCAAGCGCACCTCCGAGGCCTCCCAGTCTTCAGCAGCTTCAAGGCCTGTCTAGTGAGCCGAGATCCTTTTCTTGTGGCATCCCTCTGGGACCCCGTCCTGCCCCCACTGAGATGGTGGCAGCCTAGGCTGTCTGCATGTCTGCCATCTTGGACTTGCCTTTGCCTCCTCTTGGCCTGAACCTTGGTTCCTTGCACACCCTGTGTACCTCTGAGACACTACCTTTCGGCCCAGCACCCGGGGTGCTGTGTAGCTGTCCTTTGTCTGGGACTGCAACAGCCAAGCCGTCCTTGTGGGTTCCTGAAACTCTCTGTGGTGGTTAGGTATTTGGGTTCTCTTTTTTCCTGGGTTTTCCAAGGTTTCACCAAAGTCTGCCTTCCAGAGGTTCTTTTTAGTTTTTATTGATGGCCAGGCCATTGCTTTCTTTTTCTATTTTGAAAAAATGCCTTGCTGAGGTATAACTTGTATGTAACAAATGGATGTGATTCTTTGCGTTTTGACAAGTGACAGTAACTTTTTTTTTTTTTTTTTTTTGATGGTGCTAGGGATAGAACTCTGCCTCACACATGCTAGACAGGCTCTACCACTGAACTAAATCCCCAGCCCTTTTAAAAAAATTTTATTTTGAGACAGGGTCAGGCCAAGTTGCCCAGGCTGGCTTGAACATGTGATCGTCCTGCCTCAGCCTCCCAAGCATCTGGCATTGCAGTGTGGCCATCATGTTGGCTGACCGTTTAATAGCCACTAGGATGGAGGCTGTGTTCTGCCACCTGTGGAACCCTGCTTTGTGCTCCTGTGCAGCTGACCCCTAGGCACTGCCGATCTGCTTTCTTCATGGGGATTTGTTTTGATAAAGTGTTTTGCGCTGTGTGATCTTCCTGGGTCTAGCCTCTTTGATTGAGCATCCATCAGCAGTTTGCTGTTTTTGTGCTTGTATTTCTGTTATATAAATGCACCATGATTTATCATCCCCTGCTGATGGGCACTTGGGTTGTTGCTGATGTTTATTTATTTTTTGGTACTGGGGATTGAACTCGGGCACTCAGCAATTGAGCCACATCCCCAGCCCTATTTTGTATTTTATTTAGAGACAGGGTCTCACTGAGCTGCTAAGCACTTCACCATTGCTGAGGCTGGCTTTGAACTTGCAATCCTCCTGTCTCAGCCTTCTGAGCTGCTGGGATTACAGACCTGCGCCACCATGCCCAGCTGATGTTGTCTATTTTGATATAGGTTCTAGGAGTCTGTTTGGCGCACATCTCTGTGTGCTGATGTGTTTTCATGCATTCAAGTAAATGTTTAAATCACATGATAAGTGTATGTAACTTAAATATAGCAGTATATTTGAACCATAGTTTAGAAGCAGCTATCTGAACGCTTTCCAGAGTGGCTGTGTCTTTTAAACTCCACTGGCAAGGCAGAGTTTCAGTGGCCGTGCTGTTGAGCCCATGCTTGGTGCAGTCTTCACTTCAGCTGTGGAATGAGGTTCTCCTGAGGTGGGTTCTCCTGTGCTTTCCTGTGTGTGTACCTGGGAGAGATGTCTGTGCTTTTTTATCAGGTGCCTTTTCAGGTATTCTACCCTTATTTACTTTACCTTTACTTTATTTTTTCCAGTACTGGGGATTGGACCCAGGGCGCTCTACCACTGAGCCACACCCTTACCCCTTTTTATTGTATTTTGAGACAGGGCCTCACAGCATTGCTCAGGCCAGGCTGGAACTGTGGTCCTCCTGCCTTGGCCTCCTGAGTTGCTAGGATCACAGGTGTGCATCATTCGTTTTCACTCGTTTTAATTGACTATTTGTCTTATTATCAAGTTGTGATAATTTGGAACACTGTACTGGGAATCCAGTGCCTTCTCAGTCTGGTCTCCTCCCTCCCTCCCCCCTCCCTCCTCCTGTGTGGTACTGGGGATCAAGCCTCGTCCTGCATTGCAGTATACCCCAGTCCTCCTCACTATTTTCTTAGTTGGTCTGTTGAAAAGCACAGGCTCCTGAGCCCTGCAGCCCACATTGCAGTGCTTCTATCTTAGAAATCTCTGCCTATCCCCGCTGGCTGTGCCATGGTCTCAGTTCTTGTGCTGGCATCCCTGACCCCTTCT